GCGCCTGAGGGGATGACAGGATATTAAACCCCGAGCATGTTAAGGGTTAATGAATATTGCATTCTTAAGTTTCCGATCAGGAACACGGCACAAAAATAAATATATAAATAAAAAATTTGCACTGAATGTAATAAAGCATCTTTCTGGAGGGGGTCCTTGGTGACCTGGAAAGCTCCTCCAATTCAATCCATGTTCGGTCCTTGTGAGTCATTACAAGCCTACTGGGAATCCGAGGCAAAAATCTGGTCCCCATTAAAAAAGGCACAAAGAGCAAGGAGGATCCAAGATAGCCTTAACCCCCCCCCCCCCCCAAAAAAAAATAGAAAAGCCACCAGAAAGGTGGGCAAACTAAAACATACAATCAGCAAGGTAAACAGAGCATAGAAAATTGAGACAATGAAGCTCCTACGAAGCAGTTCACTATTTAGTTCCACCTGAACACCAACAGGGGACTGCATCTTCCATCTCGAATTTTCCAGCATTGAACCTTGGCCTGGAAGCCAGAAAGATAGAAAACTGAAGCCCATGAACAGGGAAGGGAAGATTTCGAGGAGCTGCCAAAAGCTCACCAGAAAAGGGCATTTTAGTACATTCAATGCTGGTTTTCTGGGAGGTCTCCTATTCTTGGCTTGTTGGTGCTATGTCACTACGGAGAAAAAAAAAAGGGGTGGGGGGGAAGGGGGTTACTCACTAAAGGCAGAATAGATTTGTAAAAACTAACCCTCCTACCCCCAGAAATGGAGGGAGTTAATGACAATTAAACAAGTCACACAAGCCCAGCACAGATCAACAATGTTCACCAAGTAATGAGCAGCCAGCACTCATCTGAACCGCTTAAACTTGAGCCCAAATATCTTCCCCAAGACTTTTAAAAAAAAATGCATAGCTGCAATTGTGCAACCTTCATAGACCAAGAATAGACCACAGGCTGATAAACTTGGTGACACTGTGGACAAACCGTTATAAACTAGCCTGGAACCATGGACTCCAGAATCAGAAACAAAGCATCCCCCCTTGTGCACCACTAGTGGTGTGGCGATAACAGCAAACACACACATCTGGACTTAACAAATGATGTGTCCCTAGCCAAACCAACTAAGCATTAATCGCCAAAGGACTCCTCTAGAAACCAATCTCATTCCTAGTTAGAAAGGAAGGAGAGGGCTGTAAGGAAATAAAACCATACAAGGACCAAAATAACAAAACCCCACCTCCAGAGGTTTTAACCTTCACATGTGAGGGGCATGAATCTCCACACCCCAACAACCAGAGGCAAGCGCCAACAAAGTTTAGCCTTGACGAAACAATCTCGGACTTAAGAAAACCAAGAGGATGAGAGAGAAAACCGATACCTTGTCCAAAAATCTAAGCCAAAAATGGCTTAGAAGCATGAGCAGGCCAGAGGTGAAAAAAATAACAAAAGCTGGACTCTCAGACAGCCACCCAAACCTACAAGGAAGGCAACCTTGGCTGGGCAGGGGCAATACCCACAAACACCTAGAAATGATCACTCTAGACACATTCAGTTCATGGTGAACAGTTCAGCACAGTTCACGTAGGAAGGGAGGCATAAACACACACGCATCGTGAAGCAAACACTAAAATACAGAAATACATGAGCAAATGCACAAATTATTTATCCACACACTGCAGGACAAAAACAATGTCCAGGATGGTCAACACTTATCTGAAAAAAATTAACTATGAGCAGTGGGATGGGCAAAGGAGCGTAAACCACAACATCATAGATGTAAACTAGTCAAAATGTCAAAGGTTCAAGGGTAGGGTATTGAGGCAACCGTCCTCTTACAAATTACGTTGCTTTTCGCTCGTATGCACTACGGCTAAATATCAATGTAATTCAAAATGGAAATTTATTTTTCAATTAAATATTTTTTTTTCCAAAACTGCAAGTTAAGGGTCTTCTGGTAGGTTAGGAGGGCAGGATATTATCTTAAAAGTTTCAAAAATGTCATGAAAACCATTACTTGAAAGTTTCCTCTCCCAACCTAACAGCCTATGCCAGACGACCCAAAACAGAAAACGGGACAGTACATCACTTTCGTGAGCAGATTTAATTTAGAATTACGTAGATTTTTAGCCCAAGTGCACATACGAGTGAAAAGCAACGTAAATTTTATGAGTACGGGTTGATTGAGGGGAAGAGTGCGCAGTCCCCTGGGCTGCATATCCTGATGGTATAGGTGGAACTAACAAATCAAGTGTTTCACAAGCAGGTAGTTTGTCCAATTTAAGGGTTCAAGACCTCATTTTCTATGCTTTGTTTTATCTCAAGTGATTGTATGTTTTGGTTCACCCACCTCTCTGGTGCCTTTTCTTGGTTAGGTTGATTGATGATCCCCTAGTCCTTGCACCTCTTTTAGAGGGGGCCAAGTCTCCAGAAGGTTTACAATGACTCTCAAAGACCTGCCATGGATTGAATTGGGTGACGTGTTCCAGATAGCAAGCACCGAGCAGCCGCCAATAGAAGCCCTCCCAGAAAATGTTACTCTAATATTAATAAATGACAAACATCACAAGGTAAATCCCTCGATACAAGTGGTAAAAGTGTTGTCAACATTATAGCTCCTATTACCAACTGGAAAAGGGTAGGCTCAAGAGAAAAAGTCTTGTTCAACTAATAAAAAACTGCAAAAATGACACGGTGGCCAATAAAATGAAATATCCAATAATGTTCAGTACAGGAATTTTTTTCTGTACATATTAGAAATTTTATCATCTCTCAGAACTATAATACAATATACAGTACAGTATAACTATTAAACTAATGTCAAATTAAACACTATTTTTTTTAGACTTTAATTTAATTTTCTTCATACTGTATATGAATTCAAGATATCATGCATTTTGTCATCCAAAATCTATGCTTAAGGTCACCTATTCTACAATGAATCTTTAGTGGTATATCTTCAGGAAATTATATTTTTACAGGTAGGTTATGTACAGCTAAGCATTTGACAGATGAGTGATAAAGGGTTGTAATTTAAGAGGCACTGTACAATTCATTCAATGAAGCCAAAGAGTCGGTCATCATCAATTGCACTTCAATTCACCGTGTACCGTTCAGTGGCAAGAGATGACCCGTGTTCTGTACAAAGAATCGGAATTTGACTAAACATCTTTAGCGACCCCCCTATGAAAATTACTGGACATTTAACTATACACACAAGTCATGAAAGCTAAGATAATTTTGTAAGATTACGTATTCACTGTCCTTTAATAACCATGCTAACTTTTTAGAGTGTAGACTAACATGCCTTCAATTGAGAGGTGTATTTATCAAGATTAACAATCAGCACTTAATAAAAGTTTAACAAGGCTAGGGAATGAATGCATCAAGAAATTAAAAATGGCCTCACGTTCCAAAGATGACAGTCAGATTAGAAATGTAATTAAAAAACAAACAAAAAATTGTCCCACTTGAAACAAAAGTTTCTTCACTGTTGCAAGAATATACCGATAAAAATATAACATACATTAATCTTCAATTAATACCGAATCAAACCCATTTTAAGATGCACAAAGAAATCACATTAACGTGACGTATCAATAAGAATATCGGCAGGAGCCACGAGGAGTCGAACCTGCACACTGGGGTTAGGGTGTAAGCTTGGGAGTACCTGTGTGCAGGTTCCAATCCTCCTCATAGCTCCTACTGACTCTCATTTTAAGATTAATCAATTTGAAACATGTTAATTTAAAACAAATTAAACATAAGCAATTATTAAAGCTGTTCAGGGTTAAAATACTAAACTTAAAAATAGTTAAATAGTGCAAGAAAAATGTTTCTTTATCAATCTAAATGTCAAGACCCTTGTGTGAGGCCAAGAAGAGAAAAAATCTTCCAGATGAGGAGTAGATGATAACCAGATACTGTATATGTAACTATATGCTGTTGTTGACAGTCTCTATAGTTTAAGAAGCAGAAACAGTATTTGGTCGCAACTTGATTATTGCACTGCCAAGGGAAGTTGAGATTCCACCCTGCCATACTAAATGAATAACCAATTGTTACCCTTTTACCATTTTTTACTACACTGGCAATACAAACATCAAGCAGTGACGAGAGAAATATAATAGAATCTTTCAACACACACACACACATACATATATATATACACACACACACACATACATATACAGTACAGTATATACACACACATTTGCGCACACAAACACACTATCAGATGTGATATATATTGTCCCCTTCAAATGAAACAAGATAAAATGTAAGTCTTAATGAAAAAATCAGACCTATTAATTTTATTGTTAATAACTACGCACTGTCACAAAGTAGAGAAAATACATGTCTGGCAAAGACTGACACAGCAAAAAGTAGTGAATAAACTTGATTAAATTCAAGGGCAAGACTGGTTGCAAGGTTAATGTTAGAGCTTCAATAAGACTTACTCTCGGAGAAAAAGTCACGGCCTCTTTGAAACACTGATTAAGACAAAACAAGAAACCACTTTTTATGAAAAGGCTGGTCAATGTTAAACACACCAATTGAAAAAAAATCTCTTTGAAAAGGTAACATAATAAATTACCTGCTTTAGTTAACAATTATGAATAACATTACCAACCATTTCATATTCTGCTACACCCACGTGCCACCACTCTACAACACTTAAGAATCAAACAGTCAAAAGATCAGAGTGCCATCAGAGACTTTTCTTCAGGAGTAAATATTAATAAATGGAACACAGTCTAGGAAACCCATGTGAAACAAGAAGCTGACAATGGTTCAGTGTACACGCATACTCCTAACTTGGAAGATTACAGAAAAAAGACCAGCAGCTTCAAGGAACTAAAGTAAATTTGATAGAGAGAATGAATAAATAAATAAAAGGCCTAGTCTGAGCAGGAAAAAATGCATATAATACTGCTGAGTAGGTAACCCACAAGCCAATAGGAGACTTCCTGGTCTCAGTGCCATCAAGAGCATTCCATTCCCAAGTTCAAAAAAAGACAACACTTACACATTTGGAAGCCGTAGTCAGAGGACGCTGCAAGGAACAAAACACAACCATTGAGTGACAGCCAAGAGCCATACACACCATCAATACCGCACGATTATCGCACCACCACCGAGAGTCAGCTCGGATAAACCCATATCAACACTCCATTAAGCTGAAGTATATAGTATATTAGGCATTGGAGAAGGGCAATGGTCTCTTGAACTTTTGAGATACAGTATCTTCCCAACAGCAGCAACATGATAATACTAAACATGACTTATAATTAAGGATAAAACCCACATGTGTATTTGTGAAATTTATGTACAGAAATTACACCAAGTCTTTAGCAATCTCCTGAGTGCTTTGTGAAGGTTTGAGTACAGCATGTGGCTAGTACGAGAGTCACATCTCAACAACTAATGAATTAGTCGTTGAGATGTGAGTCTCGTCCTAACCACACATTCAGACCTTGACAAAGCACTCAAGAGAGTGCAAAGGACTGTAATTTCTTTACATAAATTTCATAAATACACAAGTGTGGGTTTGTAGCCTATGTTATCATGTCTGTGAGAAGACATTACCATTACTTACTATTACAATTATTAGCATACAGTAAAGATTTCTTTAAAATCACACACGAGGACAATAAAAAAAAAAAAAAATATTTGGATCCAAAAGAAAAATTATATTTCAAAACTCTCCCTAATCTTACTGTCTATGGTAGTTTTTAACCTCGGTTTGCTTGCCTAGTAAAAATGCAACCAATATTTGAAAACTTCTGCATAATTTCTATTGCTTGCAATCTTCAGCATTGCTGACAAGGAAATGTGCCTTATCAAGTGCCCTTAACCGATTGTCTAACCAAAAAGTATTAATCTTAAATTAGTAGACAAACCTAATTCTTGCAAAAAACGAAATATTTAACCACAGAAGCAAACAAATGAACAACATATTTACAACCAAATATCTTTGGGCATATTTGACATGGGACACAATTTTCAGGTTGCTGGAGTGTGTTCAATGACTCCAAAGGGCATTCATCATTTTTACCTAATGACTCATCATTGTTGTGTGCCAATTTATCAGCTTCCCCTAATTGCTACCTGGTGTGCCAAGTCTTTTTGTGCCAAGAAATTAGCTTAATTAATCAAGGCGTCATATTGGTGGTTATAAGTGTGTTATCATTAGGTATTCTGGAAAGCTTGTGCTAGTTAACACACACTATTCTGATTAGATGACAGTCTCCAAAGACTCCCAAGCACCATACGTGATCCTGCCTAGCTGTAAGCTGTAATCCCTAAGGCAATGATCAAATACATCATGTGCCATATTGCAGGTTGAGAGCCATTAAGGCATGTAGGATATATCTAACCTTTGAAAATGGCAGAATAATTTGGCCAGAAAGATGTTTTTCACAAGCCTAAAGCTTGTATTTTATCATGTTAAAAATAGAACACAAATTTGCTCTTCGGCATCTATATTTCCACTTTTAATGGAATATTTAAGTAGATATGATTTGATAAAAGGTTTTGGTACAAGATATTGATCCATATATGTGCAACAAAAAAATCATGGATACGTACTTACAATAACTCATTTCTCAAACCCAAAATGAAAAGCCAAATATAGAAACTTAAATACTCTCCTCAATGACTACCAAACCACCAACTCCTGTTTCTTTGTCAGTTTTTATGCCATTCAATATTAACGTGATTACAGCAATACAATATAGCATTTGAGGAGATATAGTGGGAGAGAAATTTCACAGAACATACTGATGCCTCATTATGAGCAAGAAAAATTAATGATGTTTGCTATGTATTTTACCACGTAGAATAATGCCAAGTAGTATTAAGATTCAACTGAGCAAATCAGTAACAACAAATGACCAAAATTAAAAAAAGTTTACTTGTGTACAAGTAAACTTGTATTTGAGTTCTCTACTTTAAATATATTTACCAGAACTGCATCATAATTTCTTGAAATACTTAAAATACATACTGTTCTGTATTACCTGGGAATTTTCTAGAACCAAATGTTCTAATTAATATATTTACTGCTTGATTAACATTAATTTATTAAGTACTATACTGTAATGTTCACAAGTTATCAATTAATTAAAAATAAAATTACTGTATGTGTATCCTTTTCCCAAAAATAACAATTCTGTAACGCTAACAAACCACAAATGACCACAGCTAACACCTAGCTTCCAACAGTAATAATCTACACCATAAAGTAGAGAAAGAATGTTGACCAGACCACACACTAGAAAGTGAAGGGACGACAACGTTCCGGTCCGTCCTGGACCATTCTCGTCGTCCCTTCACTTTCTAGTGTGTGGTTTGGTCAACATATTTCGGCCACGTTACTGTGACTCCTCGTCTGCATAGAGAAAGTGTGCTATGCTCAGGCACCCAGAAATCACCACACCATAGCTCCGGTAAACAGCTCTACATCCTAAAAATAGTCTACATACAGTCGACAAACAGAACCCTCAAAATTCGCATTTTTACCTACATATACCGAGGATTCTCTACCATTGCACGAAAACACAAAAACTGATCCAATATTGGGATTTTTTTCCGCACTGTTGTTGTTAGCGGTGATTGCATGATCTAAAAAATTTTTTAACTGCTTTAGCAGTAATAGAAAACTGTAATAGCTACAGTAAGCATTATTTCAGCAGAATTTGAATTAATATTTGTTAATTTCTAATTAGAATTTAAGCAAAAATATATACTGTATAAACAATTAAAAATTTAATAAATTCCATGACCAGAACTTAAATCAAATCAAATAAAAATATCATTACTGTATTTCTATACAAGTCAAATACAGAAAATGTCCACACCGTACTGCAAACTGTATAAATAATAATTTTTAGAAGGTGCCTTCAAGAAAAATCAATACTGTATATGCAGAGTATCTCGGATCAAAAAGTTAAGAGCCAGCAACTATTCTAAACTGCAGTTCCCATTCTGCCCTATACATTCATGGTTAATTAATCTTTATCCCACAATATTGTCTTAATGGATATACTCGAGCTGCCCCTCCCAGGTGGTGGTATGCTCTAGTATGGCATCTTGGCAACACACATCACATTTGGTGCGCTGCTTGAATGGGAGAGGGGTCGTCGTGATCACATGGCTACCAGGTATACTTCGCAACAACTTCACGTGGCTTTGGAAAAGCTACACACAGGCACGAATCAAAATTAAAAACTTAATAAAGCAGCAAATATCAATTATAATAAATACACAACAAATGCATGAAAATAAAAACTCTGGCTACTATGAAAACCATCTTGTAGTATCATTGCAAAGAATCCTGGTACTTAGTGTCCAACAATCCTGAAAGCAATCCTAAACGTGGTATATATATACATATATATATATATATACCCAGTACTGTTTTTAACAGCATACTGTAAAAAGCTTTTCTGTATTGAAGCACCAAACTGTAAGGGACCTAACTCACACAACTATCATACTCCTGGTAAATAAGACTTGGCAGTAACAGATTCACATTGACATGCTCCTGTGCATTTAATCAAGCTTCTATTGCTTGGTTATACAAGATTTTTTTTTTTTAAGTTATGTTTACAAGGGGTACTGGAAAACACTTACTCTAATTTTAGCACCAGCTTTACAAAGAAAACGTTTGTACCATATCTTTGGCACTTCATACAACATTTGTATTACAAGTATCAAATCATGCCTTAAGTCCTAATAGTGTTATATGATTTGTGATGTTTGTTAAATTAACATCCATATGACTTATCTGCATGAAATGATAATCATTTCTAGGTTTTATTTAGCATTTGTATAAGAAAACATGCAAAACTTATACAACAATTAGATTAATAAACATTGCTACAGGCACATGGCCCAGATCATGGGAAGGGGTAACAAATATATTAAAAAATAAAACTATTTAAAATTTATCAAAAAGATTCAAATTTATAACTTCAGTGTCTTAAGAGGCCTTGACAAACCTAGATGGTATCAATTTCTTATTTGATGCAGTACAGAACTCTACATTCTTGCAGAAAATCTGCCTAAAGACTGTGAGGTGCTGAGGTACATGATCCCTAACTGATTCATGACCTCTGTTGCCCCTAGTCAACATGAAGACCTCATTCTTATCAACCTCTTTTGTTGTAAAAGACGTCAAGTCTCACATTCACTACGGCTAGCCTCGGATTTTTCAAATGCAGCTTCTTCTATGGAAACTGGAAGCATGGATTTGAAAGCCAGTCAAGACTATCAAACATTTTTAGGTCTTAAAGATGGTAACTGAGACACTAAGTGGCTTTAGTATAAAGTAACTTTTCCTTATGGCTTATAATCTGTGCTGCACATAAGAATTTACCATAATAAAAGCACATTATGGCTCAATACCACTCAGTATATTACAATCAGCAAGTGTTGTAAAACTTGATACTGTACAAGGGAAAGCTTCAGATGGTGCGCCAAGATTTCCGTATCTGTAGCTCTGGGAGAAAAAGAAAGTAAAAATTTATATTCAACTATACTTAGGAGTTCCAAAGGAGCGCAATTAAGAATGGGAAGAGGTGAATCAATTAATTTCTTCTACAGACTCACCACCACACTAGGCCTATGTACATCCATGCTCTGCCTCAGCTAAGGGTCAGGCCCACATTCTGAGAGAACACTAACAATCTATAAAGTTACAGGGAATGACAAATGATTAACTCAAGCAGTTTATCAGAATCTGGGCCAAAGGCTACTCAGTTATCAATAAAGCATCCATGTATCTGGGACCCATTTAATATAAATTGCTTTAGTTTCAATACATTCCAATTGTCTACAACTTCTTATATTACTACCATTCTATCACTACATAAAAGGCCCTAGAGTTGCTTTCTAGCTCAAACTTAGAAAGCAAACGTACACTCTAATACCTATACATAGCAAATACCTATACATAGCAAATACCTATACATAGCAATTACTAGAAATGGATACGTACATTGATCTGTCCCTATTTATTCATCCGTGGTAGCATAGAAATAATATTATAAATCTGGAATTTCCTATACATGGAGGGGGGGGGAGGGGTCAAGTTTTAAACAATAATTCCAAAATATACTGTATTCCAATTTAATTCTAGTAAAAGGTCCCATGAAATGCTTCACATGTATTTTGAATTTAAATATCAGGATAATTCAAAAAATGCTGAAAGACTAGTTTATATGAAAAATAGGTATTAGTGCCACTACAAACACTTGCATCCCACTCATAATAAAAATAGAACATATCTAATGGCATGTTAATAACATGAAGTTAAAAAGAGCTGAGATGCGTAACTACATTTCAAAATACAATTGGGGGGAGGCAGGAGGAAAAAAAAAAAATACATTCCAGCATTTTTTGCTGATCAAGAGTAAACTGTGGCAAAAATATAATTGATGGACTAAAATCAGCCAAATGATTACAGGCCAATGCAGTTAAAACAGCAGAGGTCAGGTAAATAATTAATGCTCGAGCCTATGCCATCAACACAGCTCCAATGCAAACAAATAATCAGCAAACCTTGTCTGGCATTGCTCTCTACAGCTTTATACAGCAGGTTAAGAGGAAATCCCAGGCTTTGCCGACTACTTAACATTGGTGTTATTTAAATGACAGGAGTCAGTCTCATCATGGGATTGTCAGGATAAAGCACTTCTAGATGTCAGAATTAAGTCCACTAATTGTAATTGCACCACAATCCACATGATCATGTGTGTTATCACTGAGCCTAGTCACAACACTCAAAACAAGAGAGCACATCTCAGCAACATTTACTTACAGTTGGAGCACATTTCCATAGGTAGAGAGGCTTCGTTACCCTGCAAATTATAAAATAATTTTATTTACAGGTTAAATGGGGGCAAGGAAATAAAGGATGATACTTCAACAGAAAAAATCAAAGCAGTTTTATTAAAATAGATGATGAATTTGGAGAGGAATATGAGTGCTGAAAAATTAAAAACAATTCTACAAACTTTTTTCTGGAGGAACTCCTTGTGGCTCCCTGAAGCTATCATATGTTGATATGGTATCAACTACTGTACATTAACTCTACTAGGGTGCATTAACTGTGGAGTTCTATACACTTACTGGGTACCAGTGCCAGAACCTGGGCACCCCCCTCTCAGAGGAGCAGGTGATCGTGGCATTTATTTATTTATTTATGCCACCACCAGGAAAGGCAACCTGAAAGTCGGCAAGTCAATAGCAATTCCATAATTGGCAATTCCTTAACTGTAGTCTCTGTTTAACGCAACAGTAAAATGTGTACTTGGATGAAAAAACGATTCTTTGCGGAAGGGGATCGTATTCCAGGGACCTGCCCGAAACGCTACGCGTACTAGTGGCTGTACAAGAATGTAACAACTCTTGTATATATCTCAAAAAAAAAAAAAAAAAAAAAAAAGTTGCAGTCTCGAGAACTGTTAAACAAACACCCCCCAAATGCATAAACAATATCAAGATCTCTTGAAACTAGTGCAAGTTCATTCTCCCCACCTCCCATACTCATATGGGGGGGTAGGGGAGGTAGTTTACAGTCAACTAACATTTTCACCCTCAGTTCTATACTGATGTAGTGTGCCAGGTCACCTCTTCCACTCTGACTCAGGTGTTCTGCTATTCAGCTAAGTGATGGTTATTGCCCTTTTTGTTTTTTCTGTACACTAAGGTGTAGTGTGAGCCAGGGGTTAAAGAGTACTTTCAGCTGCATGTGCACAGGGTTATCTTCCCTAGTGCTGCCCTTGCAATGCTGGGGTTATCTTCCCTGGAGTGTTTGGAAGTCACTTCTTTAGTGGTCTTCTTCGCTTGTGGTGACCCTCACCCTGGATGAGTCAGGTATCTTGGGACTTTCCTGCCTTCACTTGGGTTGGAAGTGACATTTGGTTGGTGGGGCACGCTGGGTCCCAGCCTTCCCAGACTGAACTGACACTGTTTAAAGCTGTGTCAGATTACTTATTACATAAAGAGGTCTGGCATCACATCCCAGTGTCTGAGTGTCTTGCTTGGTTTACCCTTCAGGCCCTGGAAATCCCCTGCAGGTTCAGTGTTCCCGTGGATATCCCCACCAACCTGCTCTCACTTCGTGAGAGTTTGAGGGTTGAATATTGTCCATGCCATGTGGCGGCATTCATTCCTTCTGCCATGTTGCCTGTTGGGTCGGTGGTGGAACCCCATATGACTTGACCCAGAGTCATGTGGGATTCTTTCCGATCTTACAGATAGGGTTAGAGCTTTTCTAGGTTGTGTGCCCAGTTGGAGGCCTCAGAGCTGCCCAGTTTGGTGTTTAGGGGCCCAGAATTGGAGGGATTGGCTCCATCCACACCTCTTCCATCCCCCTCGGGCATAGTTCACCTTCCGATCGTTCCCCACTGCTTCCAGCCCCAAAGTATCCGAGGGTTTCGGGGACCAGAGGGTGGTTTAGCTCAAGATGTGTGTCTACCAAGTCTGGGGGGTTAATCCTTCTGATTCAAGCGCGGAGGCAATCTAGTATGCTAGTCCCACTTAGGCTTGCTTTCAGTCAGCCCCTTCCTTTGAAGCCTCTCCCTTGGACTCCATTTTTCTATCCCGAGCATTGGGCAACGACAGTGGATCTACACCATGACTGTGGTTTCCAGAGCATGGGGGAGCCAGATATGGGCCTTTGAGTCTCTTTGAATTTTTGAAAGAGTATGATTTGGGTGCAGCTCTCTACAGGGTTCAAATCTGTGTGACTTTGGACCCAACGGGATCATCTTTCCAAAGGTTTCCTTCCTCTTGGTCCTTCTTGTGGTGGTTTGAGAGACCCCTTTTTTACATACTGTACCTCCAGATTACCCCTCGTTGATGAACCCTGCCTCTTAACTGTTTGTTTGGGTCTTTATTTCTAGCTGTGTTACAAGGTTCCGAAGTCTTCCTAATTGACAGACAATCTTTTTCTTGCTAGGGGCTTGGCACAGTTTTTGTCATACTCACACGCTAGAGTAGCATGAAGTGTCTGCCCCGTTACAATTCGACACTGAACCTCTAGGATGCATATTGGGCGTTTTCCAATACATCCTGAATTGGTTAGGTTTTGTGGTGGGACGCAAAGGCTCACAACTTTCAAGTTGTCCAGTTCGGGCTAAATCTAGTTCCACGTGTATTCACACGTTTAGCACAAGTCGTAGTGGCTCATCTTCATATGTTCGGGTTTGGCCTACCTTGACAACTGGCTGATGTGGGCTTCTAGCTAGTCCATGTGTGTGCAGACCAAGGATCTGGTTCTTTCTCAGCTCACCGAGTTCAAGTTCTGGATGAACTGGCACAAGTCCTAGCTGGTTCCATCTCGGGTTAAGATTTGGCTAAGCCTCATTTGAGACTCTTGATCGGTGTCACTTTCCCTACCTCCAGCAGCCTTGACCCAGCTGAAGCACCCTAGTCTATTGCTGTTGAGTTAGCCCCCGGATGATGCCGCGGCTGCTCAAGTGGTTTTGCGGAGGCATGAACTTTGATGTCCTTGTGTATGTTCTGGGCAAGGTTTGGCTTTAGCAACTGTTCTGGTTTTTCTGTAGCAGCCCCTTTCACCACCACTACAAGTGTTTGGTGTGGACCCTGTTGGCCCTGCACCGGTAGCTGCGTCACTGTGGTTTCCTCTTTGGGGTTTTCTAGATTATTCCCTGGTGCCTTCCTCCACCCTCGCTCAACGTCTTCTTAGACACATCGGTTCTGGGTTGCAGCTTTATGACCAGCGTTCAACAAGCCGGCCAGGGTCGTAGATCTCCTCCTCATCATCAGGCTCACAGTACGGCTCGAGAGTTTGTGTCCATGTGGCATGTACTGTGGAGAGTTTGGATTCCACTGGGTTCTATCTCCATTCAGACTGTTCTCCCCATTGTTCATTCTCTCAACCAGGGATGTTTGCTTCGGTCCCATGTCTCTTTGGAGCTGGACGCTTTGGGTAGTTATTCTGCTGGGAACTCGGGGTTTAGCTCTCCGTGCTGTTTATGTTCATGGAGTGTCTAATGTCTGTCCTGGCTCCTTCCCATTTCCACAGAGTGGACTGTCGATGCTGCCTCCTTCCTCTGGCTTTGCAAGACATTCAGGCACCCGGACGTGAATCTCTTCATGTCAGCATGGTCTTGGTGCCTTCCCTTACACATGCCGTCATTCCCTAACTGAGAGACCTTTGCAATAAGAGGCATTACAGCTGGACTGGTCGAGGTGGGGTTCCTGTACTTCTTTCCCCAGTCCGGTTGTTGCCCAAGCTGTCTCAACACCAGAAGACAGCAGCGCTGCAGCCAGAGCAAAGCCACCAGAGGAAGGGAAAGTGATGCCAACATTGTAATCAGGAGCCGCCACCCCTGGAGGCAACTGAGCCACATCCTGAACTAAATCCTGCCATGACCCAGAAACCCTCTGATGTTTCAGGGGGCAGTAGCAGGGAAGGAAGATCAGAAGCAGGGTAAACCATGCCTTAAGAGAAAGGAAAAGGAATAAACAGGAGACAACTCTGTGAAGGAGAGGGTCACCCCCAAGACCCCACAAAAACCCAAAAAATGTGGAATACTTTATGAATGTGCATGTTATCAGCATGCAGGGGGAACATGCTAAGCATCTTTATATTATTTCAAGTCTAGTACAGACTCCCACTCAAGCACAAACAAGGGCAGCACCACCACCCCCAAGCCCAGGCACCACAGAAAGCCTATCCCAACCAGGAGTCAACAAATCCCCAAAAAGCCAGTGACATAGGCATTGCATGGGGAAAAAGAACATTACCAACACACTGCAAGAGTGGGTAAGGCAGAGTAAACCAACATGAGCAGCGTGTAAAACTCCAGCTCAGGTAACAGAAGGTGAGAAAATGCATCCCGGGAAAAAGATGAGCAGGCACCTGAAAAGTGGGAACAACATAGGCTGAAGGTAGCATACCCCCACAGAAGGGAGCTGGTACTTCCCCAATAACAACAGGAGGGGCAAACAACCAAGGCAACCTATGCTACTGCCAAAAAACAGCACTAACACACTACAGAAACCACAACCAAAGAGACAGGTCCACAACACAGGAGACCAAACCTGAACAATGCAAGGAACAGAATCTACAGCAGATGACCTGGCACCACCACAGGACCAAAGATGGACAGAGCTGGAGCAAAGATAACATGAACCAAGAATGGCACTGGGCATGCCGTAAACCTCAAACAGGGAAACCACTGTAAACCAGGATGAGATCAGGACCCCACTCCTCAATCGGGAAGGAAACCCAGAACAAGAAGCGAGACCCTAAACACCAAATGATCAGAGTGAGTCCACCTATGCCACAGCTTGAAAAGATGATAGATCAGCAAAACCAGGGTGGCAACCTCAGAGAACTTACAAGTCTCTAGAAATGTCCTCGATAATGTACCAGGAAAAATGGAAAACCTACAGTGCACGGAGCTCAACAGGTTGAAAAAGGACAAAACACAATCATTTTGGATTCCCTCACAGCCCATCAAGGTCTAACACCAGAAAGAGGTCCCAGGGCCACAGTCTCACCATCTTGAGGTTATCTTGAGATGATTTCGAGGCTTTAGTGTCCCCGTGGCCCGGTCCTCGACCAGGCCTCCACCCCCAGGAAGCAGCCCGTGACAGCTAACACCCAGGTACCTATTTTACTGCTAGGTAACAGGGGCATAGGGTGAAAGAAACTCTGCCCATTGTTTCTCGCTGGCACCTGGGATCGAATCCAGGACCACAGGATCACAAGTCCCGCATGCTGTCCGCTTGGCCGACCGGCTCCCTCATAACCATAGAGTTAATCTATGTCAAAGATTTAAACTAACTACACAAAGCTCCCAAAGAAATATAAGAAAATTCACTTTCGCAAACAGGGTGGTAGACGGTTGGAAAAAGTTAGGTGAGAAGGTGGTAGAGTCCAAAACCGTCAGTACTGTAGTTACAAAGCATTATATGACAAGAGTACTGGGAAGACGGGACACCACGAGCATAGTTCTCATCCTGTAACTATACTTATGTAATTACTGTACACTTAGGTAATTACCAGATGCCTTAAAGGTAAGGCGCCAACAATAACCATGACACCACCTCAAACTTGAAGGGGAAACACAAGTGCCTAACTTAACAAGACCTGCTGGGATAACTACTGGCACTAAACAAGGGATCGACCATCTTCGAGGCAAGAGTTCTGGGGAACATACTTGAAACTCATGCCAACCCAAGCTAGTAAAATGTGGCAGAGAGAGGTGTAAGCTGCCACCAGAGCAGGAGTCATTAACGAACCCACAGAATGCACCAATAAACAAACACCCCGCCTACCCCAACCACCACGGCCCGCAGAGGAGCAAAGGCAAAACCTAAGGTGAAGTCCCTTGAGGAGATAGCCCTAAGGGGAAACACTCCCAAACCATCCCAGAAGAAAACTCTTGACCAAAGGCAAGGGCACTGCCAGCAGCAACCAGACAAGGCAATTCTGGCCTCACACAGCCGAGGCAAACACATGAGCAATGCACACACAATTGGTCGACACAAAAAAAAAAATGCACCTGAAGCAGTAAAAGAATAATAATAATAATAATTCATTGTGTCAGGGGACAGGCAGCCAGTTTATATGTACAGTACACATTAGGCTTATATCGAGGTTCACCCGCACTGAACCTCCACAGGATGCAACACCATAAGCTAACTCCTGGGTACCTATTTACTGCTAGGTGAACTGGTGCATTAGGCTACAGAAAACGTGCCCAACCATTTCTGTCCCGCCCAGGATTCAAACCTGGAAATCTTGATTGTGAGCCGAGAACAAACCCGAATGTACTACCGGGAGCAGTCTAGTACAAAGGGTATACAGAATACTTTTATAAGCACAAGTACAAGCCCGGAGACGGAACGGAATACAAGGAATAGCCAACACTTAGCTGAATGGCAGTGTTGGCTTCAACACTTTCCCAAAATGCTGCGCATGGCTGCCAGCCTTATAACAAGTATATAAATGCCATACGATGTATCAATACATTGTCATACCCCGTGTATATTTTTCTTTATAAACATAATATATTTCATCACACATCAGGGCTAAGCACTCGAGAGAACCTTCACTGCCCATCAAACAAAGCAGTAGAATTATAAATGCAAAATTTCACAATAAAAACATTGCAAAATATTTACTATACACATCCTTGAAATTAATTTTCCCGAAGTGAAAATTTCCCCGAATTAAAAGTGCCCGAAACGCTACTCGTACTAGTGGCTTTAGGTACTGTATGTACTAGCTCCATCTATAAATCCAACATTATGTTTGTAAATCAACTATATATGTACTTTCCTGAATAAAATTGACTTTACTTACTAATTACCATTTCCCCCAAGACCTAAAACGAAAGGCAAATTCCCCCCAACATGACACACATATATATATATCAAATGCCATTTAAGTGTAGAGGGAAGAGGTGTATGGGAAGTGTAGAGAGAGAGGGAGAGCTGTCAGTAGTACATCATAAGGCGAAGAATATAACAGGTGATCTCCCTGTCATTGATTTCTCCCAACCCACCCGCCACAAAACGAAAACAAATGTCTTCTTGGCCTCGTCTCTACGTCCCACGGCGCTTAATCTCTAACCACCCTTGACCCGCTGGTAGCTGGGTCACCCACGCACGCTCCACCCTTGTCACACTCACCATTTTGTTAGAGTTTTAGAGTAAAACGCTGAAAAGAAAAAACAATGACGACGAGCTCTCTCCTCTCCTTGCTGGTTCTCCCGTGACACTCCAATCCTTGACAAGACACCTCCTAGACACCTTTGTTCCAATGCTTTTCACATTCAACTTCTCCTAATTTCGCTTATAAGGGCTAACTTTAATATTGATATATGCTTATAATACAAATAAACACATATAATATCACTCAAAAGCTCATTAAGTCGAAATGTCAAGGAAATAGGTTTTATAAAGTCGCCAAGAAAAGATATCTGAGAACAGACAATGATGTGGCCGAGTCTGCGCTCTGGCAGCCTAATAGCGCCAGTGTTGCCAAATTTTGTGGCTGGCGGCTAGCGGTGGGCGGTGGCGGGGGCGGGGACTGGTAGAGTGGCGGCGGCGGGGACTGGTAGAGTGGCGGCGGCGGGGACTGGTAGAGTGGCGGCGGCGGGGACTGGTAGAGTGGCGGTGGGCGGGGACTGGTAGAGTGGCGGTGGGCGGGGACTGGTAGAGTGGCGGTGGTGGGGACTAGTAGAGTGGCGGTGGTGGGGACTGGTAGAGTGGCGGTGGGCGGGGACTGGTAGAGTGGCGGTGGCGGGGACTGGTAGAATAACGGTGGGCGGGGACTGGTAGAGTGGCGGGGGCGGGGACTGGTAGAGTGGCGGCGGCGGGGACTGGTAGAGTGGCGGCGGCGGGGACTGGTAGAGTGGCGGTGGGCGGGGACTGGTAGAGTGGCGGTGGTGGGGACTGGTAGAATAACGGTGGGCGGGGACTGGTAGAGTGGCGGTGGTGGGGACTGGTAGTGTGGCGGTGGTGGGGACTGGTAGAGTGGCGGCGGCGGGGACTGGTAGAGTGGCGGTGGTGGGGACTGGTAGAGTGGCGGTGGTGGGGACTGGTAGAGTGGCGGTGGGCGGGGACTGGTAGAGTGGCGGTGGTGGGGACTGGTAGAGTGGGGGTGGTGGGGACTGGTAGAGTGGCGGCGGCGGGGACTGGTAGAGTGGCGGCGGCGGGGACTGGTAGAGTGGCGGTGGGCGGGGACTGGTAGAATGGCGGTGGTGGGGACTGGTAGAGTGGCGGTGGGCGGGGACTGGTAGAGTGGCGGCGGCGGGGACTGGTAGAGTGGCGGTGTGCGGGGACTGGTAGTGTGGCGGTGGTGGGGACTGGTAGAGTGGCGGTGGGCGGGGACTGGTAGAGTGGCGGTGGTGGGGACTGGTAGAGTGACGGTGGTGGGGACTGGTAGAGTGGCGGCGGCGGGGACTGGTAGAGTGGCGGCGGTGGGGACTGGTAGGGTGGCGGTGGTGGGGACTGGTAGAGTGGCGGTGGGCGGGGACTGGTAGAGTGGCGGGGGCGGGGACTGGTAGAGTGGCGGGGACTGGTAGAGTGGCGGTGGCGGGGACTGGTAGAGTGGCGGCGGCGGGGACTGGTAGAGTGGCGGGGGCGGGGACTGGTAGAGTGGCGGCGGCGGGGACTGGTAGAGTGGCGGCGGTGGGGACTGGTAGAGTGGCGGTGGTGGGGACTGGTAGAGTGGCGGGGACTGGGAGAGTGGCGGTGGCGGGGACTGGTAGAGTGGCGGTGGCGGGGACTGGTAGAGTGGCGGTGGGCGGGGACTGGTAGAGTGGCGGCGGCGGGGACTGGTAGAGTGGCGGCGGCGGGGACTGGTAGAGTGGCGGCGGAGGGGACTGGTAGAGTGGCGGCGGCGGGGACTGGTAGAGTGGCGGCGGCGGGGACTGGTAGAGTGGCGGTGGGCGGGGACTGGTAGAGTGGCGGCGGCGGGGACTGGTAGAGTGGCGGCGGCGGGGACTGGTAGAGTGGCGGCGGAGGGGACTGGTAGAGTGGCGGTGGTGGGGTAGACTGGCCTTGCGGCACTAGTAGAGTTGCGGCGGCGGCACTGGTATCTTGGCGGCTTGCGGGGACTAGTAGAGTGGCCTTGCGGCACTGGTAGACTGGTAGTTTCTTTGCCTTGGGAGGCCGGCCCACTAGTTTCTTTGCCTTGCGGCACTAGTAGAGCCTTGCGGCACTAGTTTCTTTGCCTTGCGGCACTAGTTTCTTTGCCTTGCGGCACTAGTTTCTTTGCCTTGCGGCACTAGTTTCTTTGCCTTGCGGCACTAGTTTCTTTGCCTTGCGGCACTACTTTGCCTTGCGGCACTAGTTTCTTTGCCTTGCGGCACTAGTTTCTTTGCCTTGCGGCACTCGTTTCTTTGCCTTGCGGCACTAGTTTCTTTGCCTTGCGGCACTAGTTTCTTTGCCTTGCGGCACTAGTTTCTTTGCCTTGCGGCACTAGTTTCTTTGCCTTGCGGCACTAGTTTCTTTGCCTTGCGGCACTAGTATCTTTGCCTTGCGGCACTAGTTTCTTTGCCTTGCGGCACTAGTTTCTTTGCCTTGCGGCACTAGTTTCTTTGCCTTGCGGCACTAGTTTCTTTGCCTTGCGGCACTAGTATCTTTGCCTTGCGGCACTAGTTTCTTTGCCTTGCGGCACTAGTTTCTTTGCCTTGCGGCACTAGTTTCTTTGCCTTGCGGCACTAGTTTCTTTGCCTTGCGGCACTAGTTTCTTTGCCTTGCGGCACTAGTTTCTTTGCCTTGCGGCACTAGTTTCTTTGCCTTGCGGCACTAGTTTCTTTGCCTTGCGGCACTAGTTTCTTTGCCTTGCGGCACTAGTTTCTTTGCCTTGCGGCACTAGTTTCTTTGCCTTGCGGCACTAGTTTCTTTGCCTTGCGGCACTAGTTTCTTTGCCTTGCGGCACTAGTTTCTTTGCCTTGCGGCACTAGTTTCTTTGCCTTGCGGCACTAGTTTCTTTGCCTTGCGGCACTCGTTTCTTTGCCTTGCGGCACTAGTTTCTTTGCCTTGCGGCACTAGTTTCTTTGCCTTGCGGCACTCGTTTCTTTGCCTTGCGGCACTAGTTTCTTTGCCTTGCGGCACTAGTTTCTTTGCCTTGCGGCACTCGTTTCTTTGCCTTGCGGCACTAGTTTCTTTGCCTTGCGGCACTAGTTTCTTTGCCTTGCGGCACTCGTTTCTTTGCCTTGCGGCACTAGTTTCTTTGCCTTGCGGCACTAGTTTCTTTGCCTTGCGGCACTAGTTTCTTTGCCTTGCGGCACTAGTTTCTTTGCCTTGCGGCACTAGTTTCTTTGCCTTGCGGCACTAGTTTCTTTGCCTTGCGGCACTCGTTTCTTTGCCTTGCGGCACTAGTTTCTTTGCCTTGCGGCATATCTTATGTGTAGCCTTCCGGCTATTTTCTTGTGCCTTGCGGCGTTTGTGGGAAATTCGAGTATACCTCGGATATATGCAGCATTTGACCATTCCTCAGGATGCCAACCACAACAGTCGACTAAAACCCAGGTTCCTAATCAGTGCTGGGGGAACCAGAGGTGCAAGGAAATTTGCCAATACGTCTTGCCCTGCTTGGGAGTGGCGGCCAGGTTCTGTTGAGGGGCTGGCGGCGAGCTTCTGTTGAGGGGCTGGCGGCGAGCTTCTGTTGAGGGGCTGGCGGCGAGCTTCTGTTGAGGGGCTGGCGGCGAGCTTCTGTTGAGGGGCTGGCGGCGAGCTTCTGTTGAGGGGCTGGCGGCGAGCTTCTGTTGAGGGGCTGGCGGCGAGCTTCTGTTGAGGGGCTGGCGGCGAGCTTCTGTTGAGGGGGCTGGCGGCGAGCTTCTGTTGAGGGGCTGGCGGCGAGCTTCTGTTGAGGGGCTGGCGGCGAGCTTCTGTTGAGGGGCTGGCGGCGAGCTTCTGTTGAGGGGCTGGCGGCGAGCTTCTGTTGAGGGGCTGGCGGCGAGCTTCTGTTGAGGGGCTGGCGGCGAGCTTCTGTTGAGGGGCTGGCGGCGAGCTTCTGTTGAGGGGCTGGCGGCGAGCTTCTGTTGAGGGGCTGGCGGCGAGCTTCTGTTGAGGGGCTGGCGGCGAGCTTCTGTTGAGGGGCTGGCGGCGAGCTTCTGTTGAGGGGCTGGCGGCGAGCTTCTGTTGAGGGGCTGGCGGCGAGCTTCTGTTGAGGGGCTGGCGGCGAGCTTCTGTTGAGGGGCTGGCGGCGAGCTTCTGTTGAGGGGCTGGCGAGCCTCTGTTGAGGGGCTGGTCGAGCTTCTGTTGAGGGGCTGGCGGCGAGCTTCTGTTGAGGGGCTGGCGGCGAGCTTCTCTGTTGAGGGGCTGGTCTGGCGAGCTTCTGTTGAGGGGCTGGCGGCGAGCTTCTGTTGAGCGGCTGGCGGCGAGCTTCTGTTGAGCGGCTGGCGGCGAGCTTCTGTTGAGGGGCTGGCGGCGAGCTTCTGTTGAGGGGCTGGCGGCGAGCTTCTGTTGAGGGGCTGGCGGCGAGCTTCTGTTGAGGGGCTGGCGGCGAGCTTCTGTTGAGAAGCTGGGGGAGTGTTTAGCGGCGCCTCTGTTACCTAAACATTCCTTAGTAAATAGGAAAATGATCAAATACTTTGAACATGAAATCCGCACCTCTCTTAGAAACGAAATTTTGTATTGTTCTCTACCTCGACCTCGAAGGAGCGTTTGATAGTATTCTACCACAGTGATTTACACAGATGGATCTCGCAACCTCTTAAACAATAAGCCCAACATCACTAGCGTTGTATGGATCCCATAATACCATCTCAAGCAGGGATGGCGGTTACCAAACAAACTATCTATTTTTACAGCTGAATTAGACGCGTAATACCAAGCTCTCCGTTTAATCACAACATCTACAGTGACTCCAAGAGTGCGATTCAAGAAATTATACACAACTCTACAACGTGCAAAGAGTTTGTCCACCCATGCCTTCAACTTCTCCATGAACATCAATTGAAAGAATATAACATCTCTACGCAATGGGTTGCACGTATAGGCTTTTAGGCTAGTCTTTTCTTAAGAGCTACCATCACCCACGATTTTGTAACGAAATGGAAAACGCCATGCTTCCTTATACTATGGGAACCATAACAAAAAAAATGGTTAACTTGGAAACATGTCTGGTATAAAACCAGAGAAATTTATATTACAATGAGATTCAGCACCGCTCCTGTGCCAGGTAAGTCCACTACGGGCTCACCATAGCCCGTGCTACTTGGAACTTGTTCCGAGTAGCTGAATCTATAACAACAACGACATATTACAATGACCAGATTAAGGCTGGGACTCACCTAACTGACAGCACACAGCTCTAAATACCGGACAAGACATCAGTGAACTATGCTTCCACTACCATGTTCCGGAAACCATTGAACATTACCTCCTTCACTGTTGCCGACTTCATAATGCCAGAGTGAACTTCAAACAAGTAGTTATCACCCTTTAAATACAGTTCAACAACGATCGAGCATATATGTTAGGAGGTAATCTCTGATTACATACTCTGATTACATTACGTTTCTGACCGAAACGCTGCGCGTACTAGTGGCTTTACAAGAATGTAATTACTATGCTATGTATCCTCACAATCCCAATGTACCTTCTTGTATATAAATAAATAAATAAATAAATAAATAAATAAATAAATAAATAAATAAATAAATAAATACAAAATGTTAAATAGTCAAAGCACTGGCTAAATATCTCCAGTCGACCAACAAATTGGATATGGAGTGAGGTATATCTCACCTGAATTTTACCTTAGGTAAATTTTACCTTTTCTGAATTCTGAATTCAGTAAAAAAAATCAGAATTCGGTAAAAAAATAATTATTTTACATAGAGAACAAATGCCTCCCTGCAGAAGTAACGACGCTCAGCTGACGCCATAAACATCCAGCCCTTTGCTTACAGCGCATCAAGTCGCCCTCTAACACGCCTAATATTGCATCCCCGCAGCTGAATCTGCAGCAAAAGACAACAGACAAAAACAGCTGGAAGCACTAGCTGTCATTGTCATCAGCAGTGACACCACGCTTCCTCGGTGACGCCTTTCCCAACAGTACTACCAGTGCAGGTATAGCCAGGATACACCCTTTCCTGCAAGCTGCACCCTTTACACCCTTTCCTGCAAGCTGCACCCTTTACACCCTTTCCTGCAAGCTGCACCCTTTACACCCTTTCCTGCAAGCTGCACCCTTTACACCCTTTCCTGCAAGCTGCACTCTTTACACCCTTTCCTGTAAGCTGCACCCTTTACACCCTTTCCTGCAAGCTGCACCCTTTACACCCTTTCCTGCAAGCTGCACCCTTTACACCCTTTCCTGCAAGCTGCACCCTTTACACCCTTTCCTGCAAGCTGCACCCTTTACACCCTTTCCTGCAAGCTGCACCCTTTACACCCTTTCCTGCAAGCTACAGCCGGCGTCCAGAAGAAGACTGCAAGAGTCAGTAGTTGGGCCTCAATGATGTAAGTTAAATTATATACTGTTGAGGTAATAATGAAGACCCAGAATGCAGCCTATTCACCTGCAATGATAGTTCTTGAAGCAATTATTTGGTACGAGGTACTAATATATATGCACTTGAGCCCCCCCAAGAGTTCATGTTTTGTATTATTTAATTACTCCAAAAGGCATTCTAGAAAATCGGAAATGTAACTAAAGAAACCTATCTAAGGAAATCCTACGTCTAATTCCCGCTATCTTAGGTCTATATATATGCGAAATGAATGTTCAGGTTTGGTTTTTGGCCTTTTCTCGACTATAACATAAAAAGAGTGCAAACAGGAACTAGTAAATCCACAGTGTATCATAGTTATGTGTTTAGCAAAACAAATGCATTTTAATTCCTTTCATCGGGAAGACGAAGCCTATTTTAAGCTTATCGAGGCCCCTCCTAGGTCAAATTCTGATCTTTCCCGGGATTCAAGCGACAACAGCTGCCTGTTTACTGCCAGGTGAATAGAGGCGGCGTGCCCATTCGTTTCTGTCCTGCCCAGGATTGAACACGGGTCTGTGAGTCGAGGATGTAGACTACTGTGCAAATAACAAAATCAGCATTATGTGACAGTCGTGGTCCTGTCTGTGACAGTCATGATCCTGCCTGTGACAGTCATGGTCCTGTCTGTGACAGTCATGGTCCTGTCTGTGACAGTCATGGTCCTGTCTGTGACAGTCATGGTCCTGTCTGTGACAGTCATGGTCCTGTCTGTGACAGTCATGGTCCTGTCTGTGAGTCATGGTCCTGTCTGTGACAGTCATGGTCCTGTCTGTGACAGTCATGATCCTGCCTGTGACAGTCATGGTCCTGCCTGTGGCAGTCATGGTCCTGTCTGTGACAGTCATGGTCCTGTCTGTGACAGTCATGGTCCTGTCTGTGACAGTCGTGGTCCTGTCTGTGACAGTCGTGGTCCTGTCTGTGACAGTCATGGTCCTGTCTGTGACAGTCGTGGTCCTGTCTGTGACAGTCATGGTCCTGTCTGTGGCAGTCATGGTGCTGTCTGTGACAGTCGTGGTCTTGCCTGTGACAGTCATGGTCCTGCCAGTGACAGTCGTGGTCCTGTCTGTGACAGTCGTGGTCCTGTCTGTGACAGCCATGGTCCTGTCTGTAACAGCCATGGTCCTGTCTGTATAATATAAATTTGACCCTTATTTTGACAGCCGTAGTTTACCTGTAACTACCTATGGCCCATAGGTCCATCCACATATAGTATGTTGCTTACCCATGGACAGTATTTTTTGCACAGCCGAAGTCTGTCTGTGCCACATCTGTGTAATGTCTGAGCGTCAGACGGGTTAGGATGGTGACACTACTATAGTCTGTTGGACACAAGGTCATACTCCTCTCTGTGTCACCACAAACCACAAATGTAATAATTTGTATAAATCACTGACAAATAATTAACGTTTTAAATTTAAATTTTGTAGAATATAATTATAATGATTACGTGATATGTTATCAGTATGACATGTAAATAATGTACTGAAATTTTGTGTAATATAATTCGATTTTAAATGTACAACCGTTTATGTATAATGTTTTTGACTGATCATGGGACTGATTCTGTGTTTGAGACTTCAGTTGTCGTTTCTGTGACAGTAAAGGTCTTGACTGTGGCAGTCAGGGTAGCTTCAGACTGACTGTTACACAGTACGTACGTACTGTACTGTGTATACGTACACAGTACTGTTATACGTACGTACTGTGTAACGTACGTACGTATTATGACACAGAAGGGATCCCTTAGCACGAATGACATCGGTGGGAAATCTTAGAAGGACGGGCTAGAATCTAACCTAACCTAACCTCAAACCCTCCTAATAGATAGTTTAGTTTAGTTCATTTATTATGCACCCCATACCCATCCCGTGGGCGATAGTGGAAAGGGTTACCGAGGCACATAATGGGCTCAGGGACTGAACCCCACAATTCATTTAGTTAAGCAAGTTACAATCTTGATGAGCTAGTTACAAAATTCAATGTTAGTCGTCACATCAACAATGGGTTCGAGATCGACCTCAAGTACAGGTTCTAAATTAAGCAACTGACATATGTGGAGAGCTAGTGTCACAATTGATATGTTTGTCCTGCACACCGCCCCCCATCCAGTGGGCAGCGGTGGATAGGTTACAATCACTTAGTTACTCCCTACAGTCAGCAAACTGGGGATATTTGACTAAAATTTCTGGTAGCAGATCATTTTGAATGAAATATTTACACATCGCTGGAACATTGGTTATAGTATTGTCTCTAAATTCACGTATCTTTTCGCACTCCATCACATAGTGACGTAGAACGTCGTATTTTGACGTATACTCTAAGGTCAAAATTTGTCGTACTAGAAAATGGTAGCGGCTCGCGAAATTGACATAAAGTCCCGATTTCTGTTTTGGGACCTCTGGTAGGTTAGGATAAGGGCACTTTAGTATGACAGTTTCGTGACGTGGGAAACCTTAAGACGACCGGCTGCGTGAAACTAGATTGGGTCCTCTGGTTGGTTGGATTAAGACACTTTAGTAAAGTTTCTTAAAACTTGGGGAGAGGGGGCGCCCGGGATTGAACCAGGGACCTCTCGATCTGCAGTCGAATGCTCTACCACTGAGCTACACCCCCGTCTGGTTCTCTCTTGGAGGGAGAGGCAGTGACGCTCACAAGGTCACTCTGGCAAACTTCAAAATAAGTATTTGCTGCTGACTAAAACTTTTGCCCAGACCAGGGATCGAACCAGGGACCTTTAGATCTTCAGTCTAACGCTCTCCCAACTGAGCTATCTAGGCGGTGAGTAAGCTGTATCTACTTGCTTTTATAAGCACTTTTCTGTACTACATGTTTAGTTTGTTTACTAAATTACATTAACCCTTGCATCCCATTCTCGTCTGTCGTTGATTATCGTTCATTACAGAAGTTGAAGAAAGGGGAGAGGAAGAGGTCAGGGACCTCTCCCTTCGTCTCCTTTCCTCTCCATCCTTTCATCATTCTCCGTGGCGTAGTGGGAAGACGCTCGCCTGGCGTTCCACGAGCGCTTTGTCATGGGTTCGTATCCTGGCCGGGGAGGATTTACTGGGCGCAAATCTTTAACTGTAACCTCTGTTTAACTCATCAGTAAAATGGGTACCTGGTTATAAAAACGATTCTTCGCGGGGGTCGTATTCCAAGGAACATAGGATTAAGAACTTGCCCGAACGCTATGCGTACTATAGTGGCTGTACAGGAATGTAACAACTCTTGTATATATAAATAAAAAAAAAAAATAATCATCCAATATCTCCTCCTCCTCTCTCCACCTCTTTTCTCATCATCCCCCCCCCCCTCCACCCTCTCTCATGTTTCAATTTTTTTATTTTTTTTTTTGTTGGGACAGTAAAGGGGGAGAGGGGGGCTTAGATGATGATATTTCTTAAAAAAGTGACATTAGAGCCTACCCTAAGTGGCCTATGACACTCGCATATCCAACATACTTCATATGTGAAAGTTTGGTGAAGCTAGCCCCAAACGTCTGGCCTGCAGGAATGGATCCAGACTCTTAATCATGGGCAATTTCAATCATGGAAAGATAAACTGTGAGAATGGGGGACCCACATGGAGGTGAAGATACATGGAGAGCTAAATTCTTGGAAGTGACAACAAGGAACTTTCTAAGCCAAGATGTCAAGGGACCCACAAGAATGAGAGGCAATGTCAAAGTAGCTAGACTCGACCTGATATTCACCTTGAACGAGTCAGAAATAAGGGAAGTCAAATTTGAAGCCATAATAGGAATGAGTGACCACAGTGTAGACATTTGAGTATCTGGTAGAGGTAGGGATAACCTATCCAAGGATGGGATCGGAAGGGAAAAGACTAAATTACTGAAGAGGAAAATATGACGAGATGAGAAACTTCCTAAGGGGAATATCATGGGAAACAGAACTCAGAGAACAAACAGACTGTAAAGGATATGATGGACTATGTCACCCAGAAGTGCCAGGAAGCTGCAGACAGGTTTATCCCGGCCCAAAAGAAGAAAAATGAAAAACAACAAAAGAATCCATGATTCACTGAGGAATGTAAGGTAGCGAAGCAATTGAGTACAAGATTTAGGACAGACTCAATCAGACGTGGTGTCGTTAAACGGAATTTGATTAAGCACAACTAGGTGAGTACAACTTAGGTGAATACAACTAGGTTAATACATAGCGTTTAGGGCAGGTCATAAAGCTAAACAAGTAATTTGGCTCAAACTGCTCAAAGGCAATCCAATCAAAGTGTAACCAATTCACGTGTTGGTTCAATAATATGTGTGGCACGTGATTGGGCTTAAATGCTTTTATTATAAGAAATTTCAATGCTAACAAATTTTCCGTTCCCCAACAAAAATATACCTGAAAATAATATCCAATGTACAGAAAGAAAAGTTATATAAACAAGTGAGCTTTAATAACATAGCGCCTAGATAGCTCAGTTGGGAGAGCGTTAGACTGAAGATCTAAAGGTCCCTGGTTCGATCCCTGGTCTGGGCAAAGGTTTTAGTCAGCAGCAAGTACTTATTTTAAGATTTGCCAGAGTGACCTTGTGAGCGTCACTGCCTCTCCCTCCAAGAGAGAACCAGACGGGGGTGTAGCTCAGTGGTAGAGCATTCGACTGCAGATCGAGAGGTCCCTGGTTCAATCCCGGGCGCCCCCTCTCCCCAAGTTTTAATTTTTTTCGTTTTTTTGTACTTTGTGGGTGACAATGACAGTTGTTGAGTATTGTGTTTATGTCAATAACTACATTTAAAATGAGAATTAGGCGTATAGGCCTAATTCATCTTAGTCTTTTATTCACGCCGCGCTTTTAATATCGCGTGGCGGTTTAATTACTATGTCAAGCTTTTTGTTAAATGTTGTGGTTAAAAGTACCTCGACAACCTCTTCTTTCAATGTTTTCACTCCACTTACCAACGAATCCTTCTGATTACGAGTATTACCTCCCATTTCTATTACTCAAAATTAAGTATTCAGCTTCCATTGATGCTCTCTTGTCCTACCTCCTCTCGGGGTAAATAGGCTACTCATGTCCATCTTGTCTATTCCCTTCAGTATTTATTTATTTATTTATTTATATACAAGAAGGTATATTGGGTTTATGAGAGTACATAGCATTGATGCTTTTACATTCTTGTAAAGCCACTAACATGCAGAGCGTATTTTACCCTCTAAGTCTAAAGATATAAATTTGAGTAACCTCATCCGTTCCTTAAACTGACCCCTGTCATTTTTGGTACCACTCTAGTGACAAAGCTGTGCTCTTCAAGATTCTCTTTTTGTGTTTCAGGCCGGCGTTGCCTACTCTAGTAATGGCCTCCCTTAAGCTATGTATATGGGTCTGAAAAACATGATTGTTTACATTGTTAAATGGTGTATTTATGTTCGCCAAGTTGCCAAATGCGGCTGACGTTGTCCTGTTTACGTGTGCTTTTGTTAGTGTTAGAAATTATATCCCCTCCCAAGGTATGTTTCCATTACTTGTAGTTGCTTTTCCTTTATTGCGTAGCTTCCTCCAGGTCTTTTTCTCCTGTTCCCATCCACCCATTTCTGTTGCTATGTTAATATCATTTGCAGACATGTGTGAACTCACGCTCTCAAATATATCGTTTTCGTAGTAGATTAGATTAGAATGTCTGTGGACAGGACCCTGTCCTGACCATCGCATTTCGTGCTTCACCGTAACACAATCTTTGACCATGAGTCTTTGTTTACTCTTCCTTCCTTTCCGTAAGGAAGAGGAGCTCTCACTAAGACTGTCAAGACCAGTCACTAACACTGGTCAAGACCAGTCACTAACACTAGTCAAGATAGATCCGTGGGGTCAATACCGATAGGGGACTCCCGCCAAACACACACCGAAACTACGACGTTGGTACAACGTTCGAACAAGTTTTAACACTTCCTAACCAGTTATAACAACCAATATAGCAAGTTGTAACAACGTTCTAATACGTCATAAACACGTTAAGCCAAGATGTAACAACTTTATTACAAGTTGTAACAAGCGGAAAATAGAGACAGTTTCGGTTTGTGTTTCCAGGGCTCCTATTTATATTTGCAAGATCGAACTCTAGCTCTTGGACCCCGCTTTTCTAGCCGTTGGTTGTCTAATG